TATTATTACATTTCCTAAATTTGCTTAGTTACTTTATTTTTTCGTTACTAGATTACTAATATGTTTTTTAGTTACTACATTACTGAATTTTGTTCTTTCCTTACTACATTACTGTTTTTTTTTTCATTATTAGATTACTGATATTTGTTTTTTTGCTACTAGATTTCTGAATATTTTTTTTATTATAAGATTACTGATATTTTTTTTAATTAGATTACTGATATTTGTTTTTTAGTTACTAGATTACTGATATTTGTTTTTTAGTTACTAGATTACTGATACTTGTTTTTTTAGTTACTAGATTACTGATACTTGTTTTTTAGTTACTAGATTACTGGTACTTGTTTTTTAGTTACTAGATTACTGATATTTGTTTTTTAATTACTAGATTACTGATATTTGTTTTCACCTTACTAGATCACTGATAATAGTTTTTTATTATTAGATTACTGGAATTTGTTTAGATTAGATTAGATTAGAATCTTATTTATATTAACTAGTGCATCTATTCAAAATAATTCTGCTAGTTCTCGCAATATGATACTAGACCTGAAACAGAGAGCCTGAATTTTACATCAAATTCAGTGGTGCACATATAAAGAACTTGTTGGTTTAATATCTATATTTGTCAAAGTTGAGAGAATTTAGAGCTGACAGTGTCTCCCCTGAAATTGACCTTGGTATAATGCTAGTAAATTAAGCAAATGACACAATGTATACTATACTGTATAATACTTTATTTTCGCTTGGAATTTATTTTGGCTGAAGGGATGAAGGAATGATTCAGTAAATATAAATTCCAGCGAATACCGTGAAAACTCTAAAATGTCTACCACTTTTAGATAATAGGTTTTGAAAAACGGTCAGGTTTTTAGAGTACAGAATAACGATAAATTAGAGTAAAAATTCAACAAATATAAAAGTTGGGTTATATACAGTTGCAGAAATAGAATAGTTATAGAAAGTCATGTCTTTAAACAAATTTTTTGAGTAAAAATAAGTGAGCAATTTCTGGTGAGATCAAAATTTTGGAGGTAAATAAATTACAAAAATTTGCCAAATAATTAGGTGGTTGAATTTTTAGAGTGGGTGGAATTTTAGATTTTTTACAGTATACCTTTTTTCCCATATTTTCATTCAACTTAACAAAAATCAGTGAAAATAAATTCAATACAAAACACTCAAAAAGTTTTTTCAGCGAAAATTAATTCCAGCTAAAAATAAAGTATTTGACAGTATGCAAATTAGGTAACTGAGGCAATTTGTACAATCAAAGAAAATACACTGTCATAGGAAACTGAGACAAAGTGAATGCATATCAGCTGATGTATAAGCAATATGCAAATAAGTCTATATATGATGAAGTGATGCTATTGAGGCATATGCAAATGAGCAATATGCAGATGATACTGGTTAATGTGTCAATTCGCAGCATAAATTTATGAAATGACATTCTGAAGCTACAGCAACATTACACCAGGGGGGGTATATATTTTATATTTCTATTTTAATTGCAGATTATATCATAGTTTCTAAAATATTTTTAAAACTTTAAACGTAAAATAAAATCATTAGAAGTAGAAATTAGAGCACAGTAAACATGCAGCTGTCACCACAATACAAGAACAAGAAATATTTTTTAACATACTCTCAAATTACAGCAGACTTTAAATATCGCCTAATGTTCAGAGTAACTGTTTTACTAACAATAAAAACAGAAATGTCTAATTGATTGGTAAGATATCAAACACATTGTTAGTGCGTGACAGTATGTGCAGAAAACATTTATACGATATATCTCATCGTCATTAGAGACCAATGAAGAGTTATACAAAAAGGAAACATTTAACCAACACATACAGGGGACAGAAAACAGTGTTTTCAAAAAACTATTTTTTTTTCTATAAATATTCGCAAGATAACTTGAAGGCAATTCATAGGGATTAAATATTGTTAATTCATAAAAAATAAACTGGTTTATACTGTACTACCAACTTTTCCATTCAAAAAAAAAGAAAGAAAATATCTACTTACAGCAATCGTTTTCATCAGATCCATCACGACAATCTCTTCGACGATCACATCGTAGATATGCCGGAATACACTGTCCATTCTGACAACCAAATTCGTCATTGCGACATTCTGCCGGTGGAGTAGGCAGAGGGCAATTGAGTTCATCCGATCCATCATAGCAATCACGGTAACCATCACAGTATCTGCTGTCCGGAATACAATCTCCATTGTTGCATTGGAACTGATCACCATAGCAGGGAACTATCGGGGATTCCGTGAAACCACGATCAATCACTGTAATAATAATTACCGTAAAAAAAAGATTCCTACAATTATTGATCATATTGCGAAATATGTGTAAATCAATAATAGCGAGGTAGATCAGCGACAGTTAGCGTTCGGCCATCACATTCAGCAAGGCATGTCTTTGGATAGTATGTGTTAACAAGCTGGATTATTCACTCAAAGTCTGTCATATACTATTACCATACTATGGCATCAATAACAAGGCTTGCCTGCAAGTAATTACAATATATGCCTGTGATCAGAACCAATGATCAATTTCACTGGGGCATTCCCCAACTTGTGGGAGGTCCCCTAAGAGTCATTTCTCTAGTGAAAACCTTAAGCGGTTTTCTATTCACATGTACTTTTAATGAAAACTGACGCTTGCCACACATCTCCTAAAAGGCATCCCTCCACCCACTAATAGCCACCCTACATAACACACTGCAATACCTGAGTAGTCGAAGGTCATTTAAGGTCACCGACTGAATGCCCGACCGATTAAGACCAATTTTGTTATTTCAAACATCACAGATATGTAAATGCGTAGATGATAACCAGCTTTTCAGAAACACAACAAGGCAATGGTAATACCACTTGGGGAATAGAACGGTACATTCACAGGAATAATCCAAAGTCAATGAAGGGTGAACAGTTATTAACCGCTAAGAAGCTTGCGAAAAGTACCTAGCGCTATTTGGTGAAATAAATGCCTAGGAGGTTGCTATTATAATGTGCCAGTGTTGAACTTGTACAAGGACAGCAAAGCTGATTCTATGTTCGTCAGCAAAGATTGCACGGCTGATCCAAACATTAAACAGGATTTATTTCACAAATATTTTAAACTTAATCAGTTAGAATTAGGAGAGAGAATACGTCGTCTGTTCATGAAATTCCTAGATGTAACAATACATTCTCAGTTTCTTCTTTAAATTCTACTTTAAACTTTCTGATTTGATTTGAAATTTATCACTGGAAAAACCTTTTCACTCACCATGCAGTGAAATTTTCCAATAAAACAAATAGCTAGCCATAATGAAAAAACTTTATGCGTTCTATGCCACCCTGCACAACATTTGACTTCAATTACCTTGACAATGACATACAAAATTATACCGAACACACAAGAAGTTTTTTTTTTCTTTTTATCCAATCATTTAACTTAAATAGAACTACCCCAATGATTAAAATAACAGGTTTTGTTCTCTCGGGTTCTGCTTGGATGAACCAAGAGTAGGTTAGCATAAAGTAGTTAGTAATGAAACACCGGGATCGAAAATCTGCACTCGTTTTGGTGTGAACGTTTCTGTGCTAGATATTGTTCCGCTGCTCACTATAGAAATTTTGACACTAGTAGCAATGTCATGGCTTTATTTGTTGAGGTGCAGCTTTCCACCCTGTATGTCTCTCATTCACAAGTATGACAACATAAACATTGATGTTTGACCAATCAAACGCCAGAATTATTTCTGCCAAAATTTTGCTGTCATATTTAACATATTTTTATGTATTTTTCTGAAAAAATTTTGAATGATTTTAGACCAAACTGGCATAATTTAGTAAAGGCTTCCAGTTTTGATCAAAATTATTATGGAAATATGTTGAAATTTTTTTCAAGAATCAGATCATCTTTAAATCCTAAAATTAATTGTTTTGACAACTTTTTCAGTGTCTATATTAGTTTATTGGCCCAACTTATTTAAATATGGGTAAAACAATAATAACAATAATTGTAAAAAATTATCAGTAAAGACCGATTTCCAGTAGTTGCTGTTGTTTCATCAACATGTCACGCTGCAATTAAACAATTCTTACTAGCAGTCAGCCTTGTGTGAAAACCTGCTCTAGACTTGCGCAGAATACTTTAAAAAAGTCAAAACACCATTTTCAATCTAAGTTTCAAAAATACATTAGTATAATTAGCGACTGACATCAAATGTAATGCATAATTATATACAGTGATAAAAACTAGAGCTGGAAAAGTAGACCAGATTTTTTGAATATTTGTAACAGTGTTCAATTACGAAATGATAGATACCACGAAATTAGTTTAAGATAATTATGACATTCTTGAAATATAGGTGATACTGAATATTCACACCATGTAAAATGACGTTTTTATTGTATCATTGAGATAATACAGATTAATTTGATTAATTTGTATGATTAATAAAAAATTAAAAAAAAAGATTATTTTAGCTCCAAGCGCCGCAGTATACATACCACTGAAAATAAGTTATTTTTGTGAAATGTTTTGACTCCCCCAGCATTCATAACATCACATACCATCAATTTAATACTTTTTTCTGTTTTCATTCATTTAAGTTGAACGATTGTTTCAAGTAGAAAAATCTGAAGTGGACAAAATTTAAAAAAAGGAAAAACATAATTCTATGAAATTTTAGAAACCAATAAATTACGAAAGTCTGCTAAATGGGTGGTTGAATTGTTAGAGTACGCAAAAAAAAAATTACACTACACTTCTGCAGAATGGCATCCAAGTTAAAAGTCGCATTCCATCACATGACACAGTATAACCTATCAGGTTAAAACAATTAGAAATAGACACTACAACAATGTATTTATATTGGTAAGCTATAGTTTTGTACAGGTCAAATTGGAGTCGACAACTTTGTTTTGATGCCAATTAGTAATGAACTTTAAACAAACATACACTATATCCCTTGGAAGCGATCATTTTAACATCCCACTGGCAATCAGAATTTATATTTATATTTAACATTGATATTTGGGTTTACTCCCATAATAGATGTTTATGTTTTTCACAGTCAAGCCAATCTTTTGAACTCTTAATTTTATACAAACGAAATTTACAACTTTTGACACAAAAAGCACTTTAAATGATCTTTGAGGGGCCAATTTTCAATTTGCTACAGAGCACTCCTATAAAAAATGCAGGTGAGCCCCCCCCCCCCCCCAGTTCAATTCACTAATCTGAAAATTCACTTTAAAATAAAGGACAATCATTTTGAATTTCATACAGCATCCAGTACAGCAATTACAACAATGTTTGAATTCAAGCTTAGAAGGTTGATCTTCTATGTCCTAAATTCCATGACAATGATACATTAAATCATATTTGGGTCATTCTCCTGTTAAATATTGGAATGACATTATACTTCCATATTAAGCACATCAAAGCTAAAACGAACAACTTTTTCCAGAGTGGTTCTTACAAACTTTTATTTCACCAAACTTTCACGCTATTCAAAACCTGAATCAAATAGGACGGAGAATTTTTAAATTCTGGGTTTTAGCATTTGACATTCTTATTTAAAAGAAATTTTTATTTCTAATTATCAAGAGAAAATCCCAGAGCATAAAAATATTAACACTATTTCAAACTCCCTAACTCTTTCAAATATTTCAAACTCCCTAACTCTTTCAAATATTTCAAACTCCCTAACTCTTTCAAATATTTCAAACTCCCTTACTCTCTCCCAATTACCTCTGGAACAATAACTGAAAGTCATTTTGAAAGTCATATTCCGAAAAGTCGATTATTATATCATTCATATGTCCTTAGCATCAATTTATTACTAATTCATGCACATTAAGTTGTGAGAAAAAAATTGCTGCTGAAATGTTTTGATGATGTAACAGTTCCAAACAATCACTACCCACTCCCAAACTGGTTGATTTTGTTTTAGAATTTAAACAGTTACAAATCTGTTAAAACGAAACACACCACATTTGTTTTTTTCTCAGTCTGTGTTAAACTCCTTGGCTCTGTATGTCTATTGATAAGTTTAATTCCCAAATGGATACCAGTTCAATGTACAGGGTGGTACATGAGACATATTCAACTTCCATGCTCGTTATACTCATCAAAACAACCACTGCAACATAACTCTAAATGCTAGTATTTGTTTGACAGATTCCAGTATCAGATTAGGTATTTACAAAAGTGCTACGATAATGCTTACATCAACAAGACTAAAATCAGCTCTGTTTGACCCAGATCTGTGACCCTGACCTGAAACCCAGGTCCTATAGGCTGAGAATTACTACAAAACGTGTCTTTTTATCCTAAATACTACTTTACTTTGAACCAGCAAATTACTTCTATTTACACTATAGGACTTTAACACTATGTATAGCGTTTTACAATAAGTCACACAGGTGCATTATGGGATATGTAAAGAACAGGTATGGGGTCAACCATTTGAAAACATGGGGGTGGTCTGAAGAAAAATAAATTTATAAAATTTGCAAGCTAGATACAGAGAGAAAATAGACTGCATAATGTGAGCAGATAAGACACCACGAAAAAAAAATTGCCACTGGTCACACTCTTCTACCACCCCCCTATTTTCAAATGGTTGACCCCTAACTTAGATAGTATTTCAAAGATCAGGTGACAATATCCCCTGGTGGTGCTTTGTGTATGTAGCATAAAGTGACAAGCCTCATTATCAACATGTGGAAGTCCTTCAATTTGAACTTGGTACATCCTGTGACCCAGATCTCACCTCAATGCACTCCTATTTGGCCTTGGCTGAATGTGTATCACAGGGAAACCTTCCATTATTGGAGAAAGAATTAATAATTATGGTGGAATTGTTAGAAAAAATTGAAGTAATTATTAATTCTGAAAGCAAATTTTTATTCATTGGTAATACTGTAAAAGGGTTAATTATTCATTGGGTTTTAATTTTGCTTATTTCGCTGACTGGAAAATGCGCTAAACTAAAACCCAGTGAATATGTAAAATTTAGCATATAGAACACATTATCTAAATGACAAACCTGTAAATTTAAAACCCACTGAATATGCCTGAAATGGTAAATCGGCGAAATTTAAACCCAGTGAAAATTAGTCATTTTACAGTATTGTTAGTGTGTGACAATTATTGTAGATGACAATAAAAATAATAGCATTAGTAATTAATAGTAATTATGACTTCGGTTAGAAGTGGTATTTGTAGACATCATGACTAGTTCATACACTGAATGTTTGCTAACACACTTCTCGTAAAGCATGGGTACAACATCATCAATTACACACTAACAATAGAGTGAGAGTCACATTCATTACAGTAGAAACATGTATGTCATTTCAACTCTAGAGGGCACTGCCACATATATCATATGATCTCACTGAATATATTCTAGAAAGCACTAATAACTTAAACTTTTACCAAAATGTATTGCAAGTACAATCATGTAAAATATACTAAATTAGTATATATATCTTTATTTAGTACTGTGGCCATTGGCCTTATGTACAGATACAAATAAATACATAATAAATTAGATTGGAATGGTCGCAGAAACAAGTAAAGAAAAACAAATATAAAATCATAATACATAACATTTGCATAATTAAGTGTTCTCTTCAAGCATAAGCTGTTATGGTACTAAATTAGTATATACATTGTGAGAAACATTCATTTTTGTGTGATACAATAAAAAATTTCAGAATCTGTAGATGGGACAACCCCCATTGATAATATGAGTGAGTATTATGCATTTAAATAAATAAATAAATAAATAACAATATTGA